TGGGGACAATTTAGATTTATTTTGATTTTTTTTTTAACAGGTAAAATATAAAGTTTCACTGAAAACAAACATTTGAAGTGTATTTAAGAGGTTTGAGAGATTATGCAAAGGAAATTTGATATTTTTGAGATGGAGAAAAGTATTTTTAATTTTAACATGAAAATCACTTTGCATTAAAAAAACTATATATATTCACCTACGAACATTTTTGTTTTTTAGTTTTTTAAATACTTCACTAAAAATATGATTTTTCCGATATTAAAGACTTGTAATGTTTACTGAAATTCTGTCAAATTTTGGGAAGATATACGTATTATATCAAAGTTAGTTGTATAAGAACTATAACGACTTTAAACGAGTATAAAGTGGTTACGTGGTCATTCAAAATTGACCCAGCCCCTGTTAAGAGAGTTAATAGTACACAAACATTTGGACTTGTTAACTAATCTAAGGGTACAGTAAGTATTAGTTTCATGAAAGCTTTTAAAAAACCTCATTCAAATTCAAATACTCTTACAGATTTACCTTTCTTGTGTGCTATTCATAAACTGCATGCATCTCTGATTAAATTTAAGCTTATTTCCAGTTTATTGAAAACAATTATTAAACAACTGGCCATTTTACTGAATAAATTACTTAATATTTTATTTGACAGAATTAAAAATATAAATGGTAAGAACAATAAACACTTTGGATAATAAAAAATAATCAACCCATTTTAGAATACCTCAATAATTGTGAACACGTAAAAATTGTTCAAACATTTGATTTTACCACTATACACACACACAATAATTCCATTGAAAAGATTTAAATTCTGTTATGAATACAATACTGTAATTCACACATAGTACTTGAAGAAAGTAATTTTACCTACAAAAATATAAAATATATATTAATTTTCTTTATTCATAAATATATTTTTCAAATAAACATGGATTTAAACAAGTAATACAAGTTTCAATGGGAGCCAACTGCTCTACTTTTATGTCAAATGTATATCTTTATTTTTACAAAAATTAGTTTATTGAAAATGTCATGACTCCAGAAATTTTTGCCTTGTGTAGAAATATATATGATTTAATTAATTTAAGTAATCCTGAGATAAATATTTTTATTCACACTATCCAGTAGAATTAGAAATTGAAAACACTTCTATTTCTGAAGTAGGCATATTATTTAGATGTAGAAATTAAATTAATTAATCATGATATTAATTTAAATGTTTTGATGAAAGATTTTTTTCAACATACTGCCTACTTTCTTGTAATAATAATATGTCATATTCTTCCATTACAAGTTTTATAATTTCACAATTACTCAGATTCTCTAAAACTTCTAATAAATTACATATTTACAATATTTCATGATTAATATTGATATATTGGTACAAAAATTAATGATTAATGGATTTAATAAATATGATAAATAAAATTATTAAAGTATTTTGTGGTAAATACAAAAATATATAAATATGAAGAAATAAGAATTAAAAAAATTTACCTAAAATTTCTGATAAATATTTTTAGTTTTTAATAAGGTCATTTAAACAAATTGGCACTATTTTCATGCATGCATGAACACCATTATCGCACATAAATATAAAAGCTCTTATAAAGTGTAGATAAAAATGTCTGAAAGCTAGTAGTTACAGTGGACTTAATGGGTTGAGATTGGGAGTTATACTGGTTTAGTTAACATGGTTGGGTTTTTACACTTTTATACTAATGTAATTTGTCTACTGTACTAGTAATTAACTTATTAATTTCAGCCTTTACTACTATAGAGGAGGCTGGATTGCTAACATCAGAAAGTAATGTTTCCTTGTTTACCCTCTGTGGTAGGACCTTGTTTTCTTTTTTTTCATTTTATATTTCTTTGGAAAGCAGTAACGTTCCAACAATTGTCTGCAGGCAGTAAAGGGTGATGTAGATGTGGGATCTTGTGGGCTTGAGCACCCACATCTTGCTCTCCTTAATTATTATTTTTTATTGTTCTTTTCAGCTGAGGCATAGTGGCTCATAGAATGGCTGTGAGTTTTGTTTTTCCAAGTACAAACTTTTAGCTCATAGCTCTGTGATCTCTTGACCAATTTGAGATCTTATTACAGTTTTGGACTCAGGAGGTCAAACCCTTGCAATTGATGTATTAGACCATGTGCAAGGTCTCATAGATTAATTTACTCTAATCCTGCCTAAAAGAATTTCAGCTAGAGGATAGGCTAATAGAGATCCTGATCAGTAATAAAATGGAATTAGGTATACATGCGCCCAATGCTTGGTATTGCTGGTGCACAAAAATATAGGTAATAAAAAGGAAAAAAAAATATTGTAGATTAATTTACTCTAATCCTGCCTAAAACAATTTCAAGTGCCACGGATATTGAGGATTCCCTCTTATTTTAACATGTGAGACTAGTGAATGGAAATCGAGACTGGTAGACGGTATTTCCACTGCAATGTGGGCCCTATTTCTGCAGCCACCTCCAAATTGTAGGGTACATCTTATATCCCATATATGTGTTCTGGCGGTCATTTTAATTTATGCATGATTTTTGTTAAGGCTTGTTTTGATAATTATAATACTTGGACTTTCAAAATATAACTGTTGAAATTGTAAGTATAAATTCCTTTATCAGAAATTTATTTCAAATAAATATTTGTAGGAATACACAAAATAAAATAGGGATAAAGATAAAAATAGAAAGAAGTGGATTGATTTTTAAAGTTTTGTAAAAATTTGGATTTTGTACTTGACAGATCTGTTAATCTGGTGAAATTTACAGTGAAACAAGTATTTGAATCAACAAATGCAAAACTCAAATATCTGTGAAAGTATATGTTAAACTTTGAATTTAAAAATATCCATGTTAAAGACTTAATTATTGATCTAATTAAATTTGGGTTAAAAGGGAATCGTATGCCTATACTCCCTTCAGTAAAGAAAAAAAAAGAGAAATTTTGTATAGTAATTGATATTTTTCCCGTGAAATCATTTCAACGTATAGTCAGTTTTAAATATATTAAACCTATAGGACATCTTCTCATTAACTATAAAAAATTCATTGAAGAATTTAATCAAATAGAAGTTGACAACTTAACTTGTAACTGTAATAATAGTGTTGTAAAGATATCTTTCATAATCATATAGTTACAGGAAATTTAGAAGTTGTCAAAGATAAAAAATTACAATCAGTATTAAAGAAAGGTACTAAATATAGAATTTTAAAATTCACAAAATATGTGAAATCTTAAAAGACTTAGAAAAAATATTGATGGTTATATTTTTAAAATAATTTAACAATCCTATTATCCGCCATGTTTCTTTTTTGAATGGAAATTATATTTTATTAATTTCATAAAGAATCAGTTAAGAACCTTAAACTTATCTTGATATAAATTAGATATTTATTTCAATGTCTTTAAAAATAAAATAAATTCCAAAACAATTTGGTATTACCCTGATTCATAAAGCTAGTTGTAATTTTGGTTTTGTGTGTAAAAAGTTATGTACAAATTTTACTTAATGAAATTAATATCACAAGTACTTTTACTTTTACTAATTTAAAGAAATCTATTAGAAAATGGAATATCCTAACAGATAATTCTTCCATTTTTTATATGCAATAACAAAATTACATAAAAATCCTGTGAAGTTTAGATTTAATACGAATTCTTTAAATACAGTCATTAAATCTGTAATAAGTACTTAACAATATTCTAGATGTCTTGTTTGAATAAATAAAAACAGTCTTCAAATAACCAGAATAATTCTTTTTTTAGATTATTAAAAATAACATTCCAGTTTTGGAGTGTTTAAATAAATTAAGTTATTCAAAAACTGTTAGTTCTATTTTTACATGTGACTTTACTACATTGTATACTAAAATAGATCCAAAAGATTTAATCAGGGTTTTCAGTGATTTGTTTGATAACTTTATAAATAACTATACCCATTTACTAGAATTCAATGTAAAAATACACTCCATTTCTGTACTTATAACAGTTATATTGTTTTTAATGAACAAGTATATAAGCAAACAAGTATATTCCAATGGGAATGAATTTCTCTTCAGATATGGCCAACCTGTATCTGTTCCTTTATGAAAGCTCATTTATGAAGCAGACTTTAAATCCTAACTTATACATTTATACTTTCCATTACATAGGTGATTTAATATCTATAAATAATATGAATGTTACACCAAACTTAATATATCCAACAGAACTTACAGTAGAAAGAAATAATAATAATAATGAGGTCTGTGCTAATTATTTAGATTTGGACATTACTTTTATAGAAGGTACGGTGTAGTTGACTATTATTGATAAAAGAAGAGAATTTAATTTTCCCATTCTTGGTCTACTCACACCTAATAATGTTATTATGTATATCATGTTAAAAGGTATTATATCTCAACTAAAATGGATGTTAATAGTCTGTAATAATTGTAATTTTTTTATGGATGATGTTCTATCATTAAAAAATAAACTGAAAGATAACAGCTGTAAAGACAGGCAATTAAAGAAATACCTTACTTTATTTTTTCATAAATACAAAAATATTTTAGAAACTAAACTATCAATTAAGGAAAATATCTTATAAATAAATAAAAAAAAATAATAATAATAAATAAAGAGGGAGTTAGTTACTTTAACTTATAAGTAGCTAATAGCAATTTTTTCAAGTAATTTTATTCAGTATAATCAGGACAGAAAGACTAACTTCGGGTAGCTGTGCTTGTCTGGCTTTCCCGTGTTATACTTGAATAAATCTTTAGGAGAAAGGGAGGAGAGTGGGAGTAAGAACTATATAAGAACTTTTAAGATAGGGTGTGTAGTTCTATTCAATATTTTATAGTACTATTAAATATCTTTTTGTATAGGTGGAGGTTGGGAGTTTAATTGGTAGAAATATTAGGGTGGCTTAATTTCAGTTTATTTCTACTTAGGAAATTTAAGAGTAACTGCCTTCCCACAACTGGCTATAGACAGTGAAAGGCAGTAGAAACTGAGATGTTGTGGGTGTAAGCACTCAGCTTCATATCCTTATATAATTTTTTGATATTACATGATGGCTGACTAGATTGACATTGGTGTTTGGATTTTCTCTGATAGATGGGATATCCCCAATGCATTTGAGTGCTACTACCACAGACATTATCCATAACGGAAATGCGATATATGTACATACGTAAACACATACACATAAATATGAGTGTGTGTATGGCTAGATGAAGAGATTATAAATACCTTGCAAACTACTACTATGTGGAAGTGTTAGTAGAAATCAACTATCGCATCTGGCTGTGCCACAACTTAATGTGTTCACGTATAAGTGTGACATGTCCTGTAACACAACTCTTATAACTACAGTGATGACAGTGAATGTGTGATGATTGAAATATTTAAGTCTATTTCATTACACAATTTCTTTGATTTAGTTTATTTGGCAACCTATCACAACCACCCAAGTTTCCTTCTGAACTCTGGTAATTCATACTGCTAGTAGTAATAGTTATTAACAGTGATTAGATATATATACACACACATACATACACACACACACATGTATCTTTATAACAAGTGTGGGTTTATATACCATTGAAAACAGATGCAGTGTGAACTTGTTATACATGTTCCTTATGCTTTTGTATTAGCCTAAATGAATATTGTTAAGTCTATAAGGGTATCCAACTGATGAAAAAATTCATCAGTCTTAATAAGTGTGATAATAAAAGTATTCAAATGTTTTATTATGTAATAAATGATTAACATAAGTTGATGTTTAGGTTTGGTCTTACATTGAAGTAGCTTTCTCCTAATGGAAGTTAATATTAATGTGACATTCCTATGTAGAAGTTAAAGCAGGGTCTAGAAATATTATCTGCCAGCTTCAAAGGTCACTCAGTAGGAGAAATATAGTATGATGATAAGTCAATTAAAATAAACAGGAATTTTGCAAATTGTTGTGCTTAAAACCACATGATAAAAAATTTTAAGCTGAAAATATATAAATATGCTCTATGAATATTGATGTAAACAAGTATTGCAACTAGAAGTTACATGTTATATATATATATTGTTTGCTCTTCTGAGGAATTTCTAAAGAAGCTTATACATCAAGACAACTTTGCTTTTTATAAGTTGAGCACAATGTAAAGGATGTCATCCAAGAACGCATGAACTAGAAATCTAAATATTGTATTATATTCTCCAGTTTTCAGTCAAACAAGAAATGGCATCTCGGTAATAGTAGTAGAAGTACAAATGTACGTCTTCCTATCGCATAGAGAGTAAGAGGTCCATAGCAAATTACATGAGCCATGAACAGTAAGAATTTAGTGCTGTATTTCTCATAAAGTGCCTATTTTGCTAATTATACTGGGTGTGTTATTAAGAGTGATGGTCAAATCCTTTATTCATTAGTAAAGAGTTGTCAAACTGAATAGTAATGAGTAGTTAACTTCTATCTAGTCTATCACTTCAAAATCAGGGATGGCTAGTGCAAAATCCAATAAACCAATTATTTCATACTCAGTACAGATCATAATGCTTGGACCATATGTTGGACCATAAAACCCTCTACAAAGAATTATGTGCAAAAAGATTTTAACAAAGAAAAAGTCCATAAACTCGTCTGTTTGGGTGGAAGTCTGTATATTAAGTAATAAGAATGACCTATTTTTCACTCAAATGATTGTGTGTGTTTTTACACTAAAAGCCATAATTTTGCATCATATGCATCTTTGTGAAAGGTCTGATAACTTTAGTGTATTGAAAAATAAGTTCATCACATATAAAAAGGTTTTATAAATTTCAATTTGGTATTACAGGTGAAGACAATAGAGGGTACTAAATTGGCAAGCTTTGGTTCCAGGTTCAATGTTAACAAAGTTTGTGTATTGACTCCAGATTCAATTTTATTAATAAAGATGGTATTTTGACAGTATTCATATTTGCAAATCCAAGTCTCACTGGTTTTTGCTAAAAACAGAAGTTGTGTCAGACATTTTCTAGAATGTTCTTTTTAAAATGCTTTATTTATTGTAAAAGATATGCAGAACAAATGATATGAAAAACATGCTTGCAGTGGGCTATTTCATATAAAGTAGAAAAAAATTGTGTTTGTAACTTTCAGATTGTACCTTTTAATGTAGTTTTTCTGAAAATTATTTTAAACCATTATGGAAAATCAAATTTGAATAAGGCAAATGCTGTGTTTTTTCTTGCTATAAATTGTGATAATTCAAAGTAACTGAATTTTTACATGATATAAAAAAATTAAGTTTAGTTCCTTCTGAGGCAAAAGTGTTAATATTCATGGGTTGAGGTGTTTGTTGACATTATTAATTGTAATAGTTTGAGATATATATTTCTGTAAATTTAAACTGAGTCCTTTAATGTTGTTTAAAAAATTACAGCTTTTTTGGAGACTTTGGTTTCTTTACTGGGGGTCATCGTCCTGAAGAAAGAGAAATTCCTCGTGGGGCAGATGTTGTAATGGACCTTTGGGTGACCTTAGAAGAACTTTACTCTGGAAATTTTGTGGAGGTAAGAAGAATGATAGATCTGTATAAAATATGATACCAATAGCTATTTGACAGCGTTTATGCAAACAAATAAACCACTAAAAGTATAAAAATGCTAAAATGGAACATTTGTTGCAAAATAAAATATTGCAATCCAACCAAGTACATGTACATATTAACATGCTACAGACTTGGTTGAATCGGTCAAGTTCATGACCATAAATAGACCTTTATAGTTTCCATACTATAACTTCTAATATGTTTTATATATCTTCACAAAATTTTGCAAGCTTTCAGTTAGTATTAAGAGTTTTGTAGACAAAAAAATCTGAATTTTTAATGAAGTATTTTCACTAAACATTTCTCAATGAGTATATGGAGTCAAAGTGTTGACTGCTTCCAGCATAAATTTATTTTCATGTTAAGATTAAAAATACTTCATCTGAAAATTGTCAGATTTCATTTGTGTAATATCTAAAACCTGTTAAATATATTTCTAACTGTTGTTTTCAGTAAAACCTTATAATTCATATGTTATTTTCTCTACATTACCAATGGCCCGGCATGGCCAGGTGGATAAGGCGCTCCACTCGCAATCTGAGGGTCGCGGGTTCGATTCCCTGTCCCACCAAACATGCTCGCCCTTTCAGCCGTGGGGGCGTTATAATGTGATATTCAATTCCACTATTCGTTGGTAAAAGAGTAGCCCAAGAGTTGGCGGTGGGTGGTGTTGACTAGCTGCCTTCCCTCTATTCTTACACTGCTAGATTAGGGAAGGCTAGTGCAGATAGCCCTTATGTAGCTTTGTGCGAAATTCAAAAACAAACAAACAAACAATCTCTACATTACCTCTATAAGGTCAGTAGAATTGACAACCTTGTAACCCACATATAAAAAAAAAAAATCTAAATTATCCTTTTTATTTCCTTTCTAGAATGATTTCAAATTGTAACATGAAACTACATTTGTTTATTCAAAACAGCTTAAAAATTGTAGAAGTATAATCTGTTTTTACTTAAATTTTTTTTATTGCCCTTTGAACTGTGTCTAACTAATAATTCCAACACACAAGTTGTAAATCCCTCAGCAAATATGCAGCTCATGTTATTGTATCAGACTATGTAACACACAATCTGCTTGCCAGCATACCTCATGAAAGATTGTTTTTTATTACGTTATCTAATCTGATATTATCTAAACTGATAAGTTTCTAATTTGTATATTTAATTACTTTTATAATAATAAATAAAAAATACACATGAAAAACAAAATATAGTACTTACCTGGGTCTTTTATTTTGCTGTCAACAAAACTTCAGCCTATTTTTGGATCATTTCTGTTTCATGCACTGCAATCAAGTAGAAAGAAATATATATCTTTTAATGTAGTTTTTATTGCTGATTGCAAAAATATAAATTAAAATTTGGAGAAATGAAAAGAAATATTTTAATTTTTTTATTTAGCTTATGGAATAAAGGAAGTACTTTTATCATTACATATATACCTATGTATTTAAAAGAACTGCAAGACATCAAGACAGTACAAAATATCTAGTGTCAATGTAACAAATTCAGTGTGAAAATTCAGAAATATTCTTAAACATTTGCTTGAAAAAATCATCATTTTCATGCCTATGACACCAAATGAACTGGCAGAGATACGAATCAGTCATGATTGGTTCCACAATGTCACTTGTTACGTCTCTTAACCACATTCCAAGTACCTTCAATTCGCTGCAGATTTCATAAATATAAATTAAAAGTTTGAGAATTGATTTTTAAAGGGGAAGAATGGGAAAATATACTGATTTTTTTAAAGAATTTTTTATTACATTTATTATTTATTTAGGTAAACATGTAATTATTTACTAATTAGTCTAACTTGATCTAATCTCACATAAACTGCCCTAACCTAGCAAAATTAAAAAATATTAAAAATATTTCTTTCATTTCTCCAAATTTTAATTTATATTTCTGAAATCAGCATTAAAAACTACATTCAAAAATATATATTATTTTCTATTTGAATGTGGTGCATGAAACAGAAAAGATCCCTATTTTATATATATTAATGATACTACTACACTAAATAATTTTTTCATTTAGTTAAATAATGCACTTAAAAACACAAATAACATAGAAAGTAGAGAATGTCGTATAACTATCATAGCTTTTCTGCTTTTCTAACTGATAAGAGCTGTTACAAATTCACTTAAGCTCCTCTGTGTGTTTCCTGTGGGAATAAAGTTTGAACTTAAAGTGAAATAGACAGATGTCTGTACAGAAAACAATGTAATACAATATATAATTTGACAGGTTAAAACTTTGGCTTTCTCTTAGTTATAAGTAAAATTGTATTGAACATCAGAGAGAACTATTGGTAACTTGTGAAAGAAAGAACATGGCAACAGGGGTCTTATTTTTTAGTTTATGGCTTTGTAAACAAATAACATAGAAAACTATAAAAATTTTGCTTTGCCTGAGTAATAACATGTTATAGTGAGTAATTTGTGTTAAATTCTGCACTTCTGGGAGGGGTGGTAAATATATTAGAGAAGAAAGGAAACCTAGAGAGTAATAGTCAATTCTCATTCTAGGGTGAGATTGAGAATTTTTTTAAACATTTCCATATAAAATTAAAACTTAACTTGTGTTAAGATTTAATTTATTAGCTACATTTTGAAGCCACATTTATTCATATGCAGTCATAATAAAGTAGTTTAACTCTCTCAACATGGGGTCGGTCAATTTCAGTGAGTCACATGAACTTTTGTACTCGTTTAAAGTTAATATAAATTTAATACTTAACTCTGAATATATTGGGTATATCTTCACAAAATTTGGCAGTCTTTCAGTTAATATTACAAGTCTTATTTGCTTTTAAATTAAAAATTGAGTGATATATAGTACTAAAATTTGAATTATAATCTACAGTTTGATACCAAAGTTATTGACATAAATTCATGAAACAGTAGTTCAATAAAATTTTGAATATGAGTCAACAAACAAGATGACGTAGCCTTTCACCTGTGACTCGTTTCCAAAGGGTTAAAGTCTTTACAGATTTAATACTTATAACTCTCAATATAGTGTGTACATCCTCACATACAAAAAATCATATTTCTTAGTGTTTTAAATAAAATAAATTAAAGATTTGTCCTTGAATATATTGAGTATTTGTTTTGAATAGTCTGTGTGAAAAATAATTTTCATGTTAAAATGAAAAATACTTTTCTTCATCTCAAAAATCTCAAATTTCCTTTGTGTAATCCCTAAAACCTCCTAAATGTATTTACAAACGTTTTTTTTTTTTCACTAAATCCTTATAATTTGTTATTTTCTCTGCCCTATCTCAAAATGGATCGGTCAATACAACCGACCCCGTAACCACCCAAAAAAAATTGAAATAAACCTAAATTAACATTCTTTTCTTTTTACAATTACTTCAAATTGTAACATGAAACTACATTCGTTTATCCTAAGTTCATAACATTATACACCTATTTATAATTAAATTTTATTGTTTTATTGCCCTTTGAACCATGTCTAACTACTATCTGCGCCATTATAAGTTGTAAACCAGTCGGAGAATGTGCAAGTCACATTACACTATTGAATTACATTACCTACAAGCTACTCGTGTGCGTGCTTCGTGAACCATTTTAATTATATTATTATTATTACTTATTTTACCTATCTAGTCTTAAATAACTTAAAAGTATTACTATACTTTTAATTTTTAAG